GTCCCTGTACATACCAGTTGTGGGAGTATGGGTTCGAGTCACTTCTGGGGTGTGAGTTTTCAGTTGTATATAGTCCTGGGGACCATTCAGGCTTGTTTGCATTTGTGTTCCTCACGTGTGCCCCAAAGAATGAGGTGATTTGATAAAATGCTATGCCCAAGATTACCATCCGAGTGCCGGCGGGGAAGTGGTTCAAATAGCCTCGGCTATCACTTCCTTATGTCCGGTCGTGATGGTCAAGCGGATTAAGGCGTCCCTGTACATACCAGTTGTGGGAGTATGGGTTCGAGTCACTTCTGGGGTGTGAGTTTTCAGTTATATATATATATATATATATATATATATATATATATATATATATATTTATATATATATATATATATATATATATATATATATATATATAAAAATAAATAAAAACTAAAAACTATTTGACCCGGCCAGGATTCAAACCCATGACATTCAGGATCATCCCTAAACATACGCAGTACCCTGACCACCACACCATTGATCGTGGTGGTCACGGTACTGTGTACATTTAGGGGTGATCCTGGATGTCATGGGTTCAAATCCTGGCTGGGTCAAATTGAGTTCTTAGTGATCTATGGCTTGTGTGTTCATGCAGCCAGCCAGCCATGCCCCCCCCCCTCCTCTCTCACCTCCTCACCTCCCTTATTTTTTTCTCCCACTCTCACACAACACACACTGCTGATTTGTGACAGTTGAGAGGCAGGACCAAAGAGCCAGAGTTCAACCCCTGCAAGCACAATTAGGTGAGTACACACAGACAAACACACACACACACCCAATCCCTCTCCTGTTTTGGTAGTACTTACAGTAACGATGGGGACCATAGTATACATACTGACGTACAACAAAATCAGAACGTAGAAATCGGAACTATTGAGTTGGCCAAACCAGAAAACTATTTTTTACTTGTGTTGCTTTGACAAACTAAACTAACCTGTTCTAACCTCCCTAGGCCTAATACCCAATATCTGTAGCCTAATACCTGTATAGTACATGTGTGTGCTATACTAATAGCACACCTAGAACTAGGCCTAGGAATTTTGAAGTTTGTGTTTTAGCTTCATTTATTTAAAAGAATTCCTTACTAGTTAGTACAGTATACTACTATCTAAAAAGCTAAGTATGTACGAATTCTGACTAATTGACGATTGTCGCAATAGGTACTATCTAAATAGGAGGATGGGATGTGCATGCACACGTGCGCGCACACAAGCGCTTGCAAAAAATACAAAAATGACTTAAAATACACTATTCTCTCCAAGCACTTCTAGTCTCATCTTTACCACTTAACATTACCTTGCATATAACTTTAACAACAACATTTATTCAACCAACTAATGTGGCATAATGAGGTGCCAAGAGCTGTTGATAAAGCAGATTTTAGGCAGTACAAAGTGACCAAAAGAGGAAAGAGGTTGGGAGGAGGTGGTGGTGGTTTGGGGGGGGGGGGGAAGAGAGGGAAAGTCCCTCTACTCCCCAACCACTTAGTCCACTTAGGTAATTGCGCACACACACACACACACACACACACACACACACACACACACGCACGCACACACACACACACACGCACGCACGCACACACACAAGCATGCTACTTTGTATAATTATACCATTTACCCTGTACTAAGTATACTTATGAATATCCTTGTATTTAAAATATGTATTGGTAATACACCCCCACTCTTTCATAGCAGAAACCTTTCAGTCTACAGTTATTATAAATTTTTCAGGAACAATATTGCTACCCATTACGTCTTTCTCACTTTACCAATCGGATTATCCATTACAATTACAGTATTCTATACCTCCTAAGACTGACAATAATCTTACTCACTAGGCTATTTCAGAATTGTATTTTTTATTCTCACTTCATTTAGAAACAATTAGAATGGAAGCATTTTGAAGTGTGTGCATGCATTAACACACACGTGTGCGCATGGGTGTTGCTCTGCGTGTGTGCGTATATTAATACTGTATAACTAAGGACTTTGAAAGCATGTACAGTACAATATATATATATAAGACGAGTAACCAGACACTATACAACTGGGCACATTAACAAATTACACAGTGGAGGGCCATCAGTGAGCAAAGAAAACAAAGCCATTCAAGTAATACAACTAAGTTTAGAGTGTAAACTAAAAACAAGACTAGAATAGTATGGAAATGAATGAGAGGCCAGTGGAATATATACACCGGTTTCTAACAACTTACAAACCTCAAAAATACGAGTGCAACACTTTTGGAAAATGAGAAGTTAGCCTGCCTGTGAGAATAAGTATGATTACACAGATGACTTTCCCCATATAAAAGACAGTGCTAAAGATGACTGATGATGATTGCAGTTTATACACACATTCATTACTTGGCAATTTTGTACCTGAAGGAACACTAAACACAAAAAACTATGAAAGTAAAGAGAGAATATATCATTATGACAACAGTGAGCAAGCATTCAGAAATTATG